TGAATCTGTATGTTTACATGTTTTTGCAAATTTGCAAGTTTTCAGCCATTATTTCTTTGAGTATTTTTTCAGTCTCACCCTTTTTCTCTTCTCCTTGTAATGAGACTCTAACAACTCAAAGTTTAATTTTTGTTACAGTCTCACAGTTTAGTTTTTTGTTTTTCAGTCAGTTTTTTTTTTCTGCTGTTCAGATTAATTTTTATTTCTCTGTCTTCCAGTTCACTGATTCCTTCCTCTGTTCTTTCCATTTTTCTGTTGAGCTAAATCCATTTAGTTTTTGTTTTAGTTTTGTATTTTTCAGTTCTAAAGTTTTTGCTTGGTACTTTTTTTTTTATTTCTTTGCTGATAGTTTCTTTTCATGCTTTTAGTTGTACCAATTATATTTATAATTGCTTACTGAAGTAATTTTATGATTATTGCTTTAAAATATCTGACAGCTGCTAATTCAAACATCTCTGTCATGTTGGTGTAGGCATCTATTGATTGCTTTTTCTAAAAATTCAGTTTGAAATCTTCCTGGTTTTTGATATCATGAGTATTTCCAATTGAAACCTATATATTTTCAGTATACATTATGAAATTCTAGTTCTTATTTAAATGTTCTATTTTAGTTGTGAGTTTTTTGTTTTGATACTGCTCTGGCAGGGAAAGTGGGGGGACACTAACTCATTACTGACAAGGAGAATAATTCCAAATTCCACACCCAGCCTCCACCTTGGGTGCAGAAACCTTGAATGACTACTCATTACTGTTGGACGGGGCTTGAAATTTCAGCAACCCCAGTAGGCCTCCAGTAATACCTCCTTGGCTGGGAGGAGCAGGAGTGCCTCATTACTGCTCTCCATATGGCCTCAACTTAAAATATGGGGTAGTCTTATTACTGCTGGGCAGTGATGAATGTTCTGACTCAACTTGGCATCCTCTAGCCCCAGCCCAGCTTAGAGAGGGAGGGCATCTCATTACTGTCAGGTGGGGATGAAGCCAGGTTGTCTCTAAGAACACCACAGTAACAAGGATTCATTACCATTCAGTGGGGATGAAAATTTCATCTTCCTACTTGGCAGTTTCCAGATAGCAGCCCAGTGTGGGAATTGGCATGGGTCAGGGTGGGCCACAGTTGTTTTTCTCTGTCATATTTAGCTGGTTATTTATTGTCTAGATCTGGCTGCTCCTTTTTTTTCCTTGCCCCTTACCTAGAGAGAACAAATTTTGGTTACTGCCTTTTTTTCTTTTTAATAATTCTTGCATTATTATAATTTTTGAGTCATTGTCACCTTTTTTTTTTTGTCCTAGTGGGATTTTATTGAGATAAATTAACAAAAATCAAGATTTACCAACCATCTCTTCCGAACCTTATAAAGTCAGCAGAGACTCTGGTCCATATATGTGCACATACAAACATAACACATCCCACCAAAAACAGAGTCCTACTGGAACATTTGCCAATTAACAGAGGGCTAATCTTCCCTTTCCCCAGATGTTTTCAAAATTTTGAGTTCCCATTTTTCACTTCTTAATGGAACTCGTCACTTGTGGCTAAGGACATTGGGATGCTCTACCATTTTTACTGAACAAAATAAATTTTTTTCCTTTGTTTTGTTTCAAAAAAAGGGGACAGTGACTTTGTTGTCTCCAGACACCCCTCCCCCAAAACCAGTGGTTAAAATGCAGCAGCCTGTATCTTACTAACCCAACCTACCCTCACCGCTTTCCTTCCCTAGCATTGTCTACTGAAGAACTTAAATACACTTCTGCTGGAATCCGTCAGCTATGGAGGGGCAGAATCCACGTGCCAGGCTACCTCCCTCTGACGTCCTGAACTATGACAACCTGTGGACACATAACTCTTTATCCCAAAGATGAATTTTTTGATCAGAAAAAAGAGTAGATTTTCTTTAGGAGTTTCTAAAAATCTATCATTAGGGATATAAAGTAGAACTACAAACTCACCAAAGTCCACTAAGTTCACCAAAAAGCTGACTTATTTGAGCTCCCATGAGGCAAATAATTTTACTCAACAAAGGTATTTGGCAAGAAAATGATTCCACAACAAGAAATTTAAAGATACATAGAATGTTGAAAAAAAGTAGCAAATTCAAATAACGTGGGTTAATTCCCAAGAACCTGTTTTCATCATTTTATTACTCATCTAGAAGATCAGGAGTGTGGCTAAAGGCAGTTTCTGGTGAGGTTATGAGCTTCCAAAGTGTTTCTAAATCCTTAGTGCGGACACTCTCTTTTGGGGCACAGTACTTTCCCTCCCACCCCAATTCAAAAAAAGGAAAAGAAAAAAAATTAAAGCAAATGATCAGAATAATATGCTTTGATTTGAACAATTTATGCTCAAGTTTTTGCGCTAAATTGTCTTGTCCAAACGTGATGGCATCAACTGCAAAGCACATGGCATAGCAAAGGTGCTCTCATTTCATTCTCTAGTGAGATACAAAGTTGCATTTATGCTCCTTTTCTGCTAGGAATGATCCCTCTTATTTCACGGAAGATGGGGGAGAAGGAGAGCTGTATCAGTAAAAGGGCAAGATGTTTTGGGTCAAAAGTTGATGCCTTTTACATTCCCTTCCACTCTCCCTGGAAAAAAAGTTACTTCCTTACTTAGGATTTGTATTTAGTAACTGATATGGACTGGGCAGAACATATAGGACTGAAATTCCAAAAAATGAGCCTGCTCTTTTTTGGATTTGTACTGTGCAGCCCTTGCTACAGCTGTTAAAAGAATTAGAACTGGTCAGGCACAGTGGCTCACGCCTGTAATCCTAGCACTCTGGGAGGCCCAGTCAGGCGGATTGCTCAAGGTCAGGAGTTCAAAACCAGCCTGAGCAAGAGTGAGACCCCATCTCTACTAAAAATAGAAAGAAATTAATTGGCCAACTAAACACACACACACACACACACACACACACCATATATATATTAAATATATATTTTTGCTCCCCTGCCCCGCCTCCTGATTGACCTAGTACACTGGGTTAAAAGGGAATTAAAAACATTAAAAAAAAAAAGTTCACTGGTTTGGATATATCTCACTCCTTTTGCTTAGAGATCAGGCATGTTGGGAGGGGCACAATTTAAAGCAACATTATTGACGGTAAAGCATTTGCCAGCAATTTACAGTGCAAAATTCATTGTCATTCTTTAAAGATTCTTTAAACATTGTTATCTTCAGTTCCTTGAATATATTTGTAATAGCAGCTTTGTCATCTTTGTTGTCACTGGGTCCCCTAAGAGACAGTGGATGGATTTTTTTTCTTTTCTGTCTTTGGGCTATAATTTCCATATTTCTTGCTCTTCTGATAAATTTCATTGAAAACAGGGCATTGTAAATACTATATTGTAGCAACACTGGATTCTGACATTTCTCCTCTGAGAGGTTTTTGGTTTTATTGTTTGTTTATTTTTCTTTCTTATTTCCTTTATTTTTTTCTCTCTTCTTGGTTTCTTCTTTTTTTCTCCTCTCTCCCTCCCTGGCACATTCCCTCCCCCCAATCAATCCCTTCCTTCCTTCCTTCCTTCCTTCCTTCCTTCCTTCCTTCCTTCCTTCCTTCCTTCCTTCCTTCCTTCCTTCCTTCCTTCCTTTCCATTACATTAATAACTTGCCTGTCTGAACTAAAGCTGAGGCATCTGCAGCCCCTGTGGTCCCTGTGGTATATGACAGCTTATATCTCTGCTTAGTTGTGTTTTTTCAAAACTCTTTACAAAAATATCCAAGCCTATTTTCCTAGAGGCTGCCTCTGTGCTGTATAGCTAGTGAACTGCTAATAAGACCAGGCATGCCTTGATCGCCTGGACTTTGGTACTCCCCATTGCACATGCATAAGAGACAGCCAGGGATATGTGGCCTTTATGCCAATTTCTTGCATTTCTGTTTTAGTGCCATTATCTCCTTGTTATATTTCTAGTCTACTGATGGCTCCAACAGCCATTAGACTCCCCCAGTTACTTACCACCAAGATTACTACTGTGACTGACAAAACTGCTGAGCACTTTTTTTTTTTTTTTTTGTCTTTTACACCAAAGCAAATGAGTCTCTATAGTGGCAAAACCAGTGGTCTTGAGGACTTGCCTCATGACTGAGCTGGAGGAAAGAGATCAACTGCCTGCAAGAATCCTATAGATTCTCAACGTATTTACCCAAAGTTCAGCAATTTTTCCAGAACAAACACATTTCAATTAGTTCTTTGCCTTTAATGGATTTCCTGAACCCTGAACTGTTTGTTTTTAAAAATGTATCCCAGTTTTATAGATTTTTTTTTTTACTTCCTCACACTGCCATTACTGGAAGATCTTTCCTGTTGTACTTATTTCTAAACTCATTTCTACTTTGATTGGATCTGACACTGTCATAGCAGTGGTAAATAACCTATTTTATAACATGTCCCATAAAGAATTGGTTATAATTTGTATATTAATATTTACATATTGTCAGCCGGCAAAACTTTGGCCTTTTTCATAGACATGACGTTAGCTAATTTGTCTTCAGATCAGCAGCATCTGTGATAAGGCAGATGCCAGACAAAGGCTCTTGACCTAAATATAATGGAAATGGAGAGAGAATGTTTATAATTTACTGCATGACAAAATCCTCACATTCTAAAATCAGGTCCAAAAACTAAACAAACAGCAAAATCCCCTCTAAAATAGTGAGAAAATGACTATTGTCTAGGAAAAGAATATATTGTTTAGAAAAAACTAATTCAGCCAGTCTAATTGATCTGCTTTATCTGAATAGCTTATACATTCTTTTAATTTCCTGCATGTTTCTTTTAGCTCAACTCTCAAGGCCTATCCTTTAAATTATCTTTTCAATGCACATATACAGATGAGTAAGTAAATTCCCTATGGGAAAAATGGAAGATGAAGGTAAATTATCCATAAAGAAACAAAAAGCAAAACAGCTGCACAGAGAAGGTTTCAAAAACTTAAGGCAAAAGTTGATAATCGTGCTAAAATTTTCTTTTCCTTTTTTTTTTTTTTTTTTTTTTTAGTAGAGTAGACTGAAGAAACAGATGTTACCACTGCTAGAGAGAAGGAGATTCTATGCCTGCAGCCAAACCTGGAATGTGCCCCATCTGAGGCCTTCGTGTCAGGGCATCCACTCAAGCTGTGAGCACACACAATTCTGTACTCAAATGTTGCTGCCATTGAACCCAAAGTGAAGCTTGGACTGTACTGTAGTTGACCTCAATGCTGGCAATCCTCCAGGCCTGGATTTCGAAGCAAAACCCACAGGAGTCTCTGGCATGGTATGAGAAAAAAATGGACTAAGAAATCTCCTAAATTGCATTTGATACACTCTAATTTGAAAAAGAAGTGAAATACAAATTTACGTGTGAAATGGAATCATTAACGTACGTCAAAAATTTGTCTAGAGGTGACATTATCCTAAGGGGCTTATAATTGTTGAAATTAAATTACAAAATAATTATTAGACTTTTTAAAGATGTTATTTCACCTTGTTTGGGCTCAGAGGATGCCACCTCTCTGGGGTTATTCCTCAAACTGAAGAATTCATGCTTGAGGTGAGATACTTATTCATTAGCTGCTCTTTCATTTGCTTTTCTCTTAATTGAGCCCAGTGTGAGGTAAGACTTTACAAGCAGTATATGTACTGCCCTTTTTAAACCATGACTTTTACATTCTTTATTTCTCTGGAATAATTTTTCTTGACCTTATTGGTTGAGCAGGTTAAGGTACGGAGTAGCAGCAGGATTAAAGAATAAAATAAGCCAGTGCTCTAGGAAAAATGAACCAGACAGAACTTAAGCGAACCCTCTTTCCCTTATTCACTTGACGAGTTGCAATATACTCAAAAGGTGGCAAGACTTGGTGGATGGTACTTACAATCCTATTAAAAAAGGAGCAAAGCCATTTCTGTTGGGAAGCAGATACCCTTTGCAATTTTTTAAAAAACGCCTGGCATTCATAGTTGCCCAGCACATGGCAATCTCAGTAGAGATACACTCCTGAGTTTGATTATCCTGTGGGCCAAAGTCTAATATCCAATGCACGAACAGAATTTGAACTGACTTATTCTTATTGCCTTACTATGATAATTCTAAGTGGCTTACTATTGAGCTGTAACTCTGATTTGGAATAGTTTTTTTTTTTTTTCCTCTTATAGTTCATAAAAATTACAAATAAAAGTTTATAATATTACTTTATGTAATCTGAATTCTTCTCTCCTTCATTTTTTGTTTGTTTCCTACATTTAGAAGGTTTAATGTCAAAATTCCAGCTAATAACCTCTCAGTTTCTGAAAATCATTCCAAAATCTTTATTGTTTAAAGACAACTACCACTTATAGTATGAGGCAGTTTGAGTGGAATTTTTTTTTTTTGTTACAGAATTTTATGGAGGTACATTTTGGTTACATGTAATGCCTTTGCCTTGCCCAAGCCAGAGCTACAAGCATGTCCTCCCCTTATACAGCGTGCTCTGCCTCCATTAGTTGTGAGTTTACCTCCCTCTAACAGCTGACCAGCACCCAATGAAATAATGGGATTTAAATCAATAATTCTAATGTGTGACTTTTTATCAGTGTTTATTTAAAAATGCACATTATACTCATTTCAATTAGAAAGAAGTGGAAATGAATGCAATGATAAGTTTTGTGTTCTGTGCTATTTACTTTAGAAATAAATCCATAAATGCTAAAGGGTGATTCTGAGAAAGAATAGGATTTTAATAAAGGCAAATATGGTTGAATCTGAAAATGTGAGAACCACCCTACCCTGGATTTATGATAGTTTTTGTCTCATAGATAAATAAAAGTTATATGTACAACTCATTATTACTATTAATACTGTTTTTTTTTTTAAAAAAAACTACTTAAATCAACTTTACTTTTGTGAAATAAATATAGATGAGGCATAACACTTAGCCTGTCTCTTCAATAGACAGATTCACATATTCATGAGTGGTGACCTTTTTTAACACAAAATTACAGAACTAATACTTTCTCACTACTTCATTATTTAGTGATGCCGGTCCTAGCTTTAGAAATAAAATCAACCCATTTAATGAAATGCTTACTTAAACACCAATGCCATTATTACATATGTAACAGTTTGGAAATACTGCATTACACTTGGAAAATACCCAGTGCCAGTGAATCAATTTTTTATCTGCTTTGTAAAAACAACTTCTGCTTTATTGCTTTTTGGAAATAGAATGGAAGCAATACTTCACAAAAGCCATTAAACAGAACTTGTGACAAAATGTAAGACTTCTGATTAACTACATTATTTTTTTATTTCTTTTAAACACCTAATGGCATAATGAAAGCTGATTAGATTATTGATATGTTCACATTCCATTCTGATATCTGATAGCCTTAAATTAAAAAGTTGAATTGTAAAATGAGATGACAGTGCAATTGAACCATCAACCTCATAAACAGTAACTGCTGGGTAATCCAAATTTTTAATTGGCCAAAGTAACATGTAGTGTTGGAAAATATGGAAGATAGTCTATAATTAGAACAATTAACACAATGATGATTCTTATATAGCAGCGACGCTTTAAATATTTAACCATGGAGGGCAGAAAACAATTTCAAGTTGGTGAATGAAGGGACAATTCTGTAGGGTATTCCTTAGGATTTTTTTTTTTTTGGTAGTTCCTTTGGGACATAGTCAGCAAATATCATATTGTTAATATTGCAGAAGTTATAGCAAGGAAGACAAAAACAGTGTCCTTTGATTTTATATCATTTTTCTAAGAGAGTAACATAAATAATGGGGTATAGGGTTGTTAGTATAGGGTTGTTAAAAATACATGCCATTTTTTAAAATATTCACTGTGGATGAAAGAAATCTGTTTCATCTAAAAAAAGATACATTATGTTTAAATTCCACATTATCATGTATTTTCGTTTCTAAAACCTTGCAAAAACAATGAAGGTTGTGATGAGTTCTTTCATTGCCACTGGAGCAGGGGCAGAGGGACTCCTGATAAATCAGCTATGTAAGTCTGTGGAGCATAATAAGCACAGGCATGCTGCAAGAATTAGAATTAGTGTCAGTCTTATTTAAAAGCTTCCTTGTTCATTTTTGCAACTCTGGATTGTTGGCCAAGATTAAATCATGAATCTCCTGAACACGCTTGTAAAATAGTTAAGCAAGTAGTAGAGAAAGAATGACAAAGGGGTAACTTTATTTGCACTATTATATTAATGTAAATTTAAATCAAATGAAGATAAAACAAATATTATACAAATAAAATTCAGGATTTTTCCCTTGTGATTATTAATAACACCGTAAAGGTTAATTCCAAATCAAAAGATTTACTCTAATGTAAACATAAATTTAAAAATATATCTATCACCTATCCTATCTTGGATCAAGATGAGGATTATTTTTTCTGAATTTAGGAAATAGATGTCTATAATTAAACAACAGGTAGGATAATAAAATAATAAGTTTTAAAAAATCCTCTCTATATCAGCTGGGGTCTAACCAGAAAAACAACTTTAAGAGTTTGTAAAAAATACATGTGATGCAGAGATTATACTGAACACCAGACAGAAGATAGCGAGGTAACTCCTTGATCAACAAACATATGAAGACATGACCACTACAAGACTGGACGGAAAACAGGATGAGGCAATATTATTGGTGCTTAAAAGTAAGAGTCACCCAGCAAGAGTTGAGCCCCAGGCCAGTCTGTCTGGTGAGAACTGAAGCCACCCTTGTCCCCCAGTGCAGAGGAAGAAGGTTGGGAGAATACCTTGCGTTCTCTCTTCTTTCCCCCTTTTAAATTTCCGCCAATTTTTCTTGTAGACATAATCAGCCAGAAATTAGCTGTAATAGGACTTTACCACCAAATGCACAAACATCAATACAGAGGCACAAAGTATGTGAAAAACAAGAAAACATGTTTTCTTATTCCACCAAAGGAACACAACAATTCTTCAGTAACTGGCTTGAAAGAAATATAAATTTTCAAATTGTCTAAAAAGGAACTAAAAATAATGCTCTTAAGGAAATTCCGTGAGGTAGACAGTTCAGTGAAATCAGAAAAAGAATTTATGATCTGAATAAGAAATTCAACAGAGATAGATATCATAAAATAGAACCAAATAGAAATCCTGTAGCTGAAGAATTCAATCAATTAGATAAAGAATACAATGTAGATCTTCAACATCAGTCTAAATCAAGCAGGAGAAAGAATTTGTGAATATGAAGACAGGTCTTTTGAATGACTCAATCAGATGAAACAAAGAAAAAAGAATGAAAAGGAGCAAAGACAACCTATAGGATTTATGGGATACTATTAAAATGAACAAATTCTTGCATTATGGGAGTTTTAGAAGGAGAAGAGAGAAAAAAAGGAACAGAAAGCTTATTTAATGAGATAATTTAGGAAAACTTCCAAGTCTTGGGAGAAATATGAACATCCAGATCTATGAAACTTGAAAGTTCACGAATACGTGGAAATTAAACAACGGGCTCTTGAACAACCAATGGGCCAAAGAAGAAATCAAAAGAGAAATTAAAAACAAAACAAAACAAAATAAAACAAAAACCTGAACAGGAGGATCTCAAAGAGGTGCTCTCCAAGGCATATTATAAACAAACTGTCAAAATTCAAAAACTAAAGAAAATCTTAAAAGCAGAAGGAGAAAAGCAGTAAATCACATATAAAAGACTCTCCACTAGATTATGATCATGTTTGTCAGCAGAAATGTTACAGGCCAGGAAGGAATGGGGTGATATATTCAAAGTGCTGGAGGAAAAACTAGTAGGGAAAAAATACTTTACACAGAAAATCTGTTCTTTAGAAATGAAGGAGGAAACAGAATGATAATTAGTATCATAAATACATATACAAGTATAAAACTCACTGGTATAGGTAAATATATAGCCAAATCCAGAATAATTCAATATTGTAATGGTGGTGTGTAAATCATGCATATATCTAATGTAAAGGTTAAAAGTCAAAATGATCTAAGATAACTAAAGCTACAATAAGTTGTTAAAGAATACACAATATTAAAAGATGTAACTTTTAATATCAAAAACAGAAATTGTTGGGGGAGGGTAAGCTCAAGTTTTTGTGTGTGACAGAAGCTGTTATCAGTTTAAAATGGTAGATTATAACTATAAGATGTTTTATGTAAGTCTCATAGTAACCGCAAACCAAAAAATTACAGCAGATATATAAATAATAAAGAGAAAGGTATCAGAGCTTAAGACTAAAGAAAATTATCAAATCACAAAGTAGAAAACATGAGAAGTAAAGAACAAAAGACTTACAAAAAAAAAAAAATAAGAAAATGGCAGTAGTAAGTTCTTACCTGTCAATATAATAACCTTGAATATATATGGATTAAATTCTTAAATCAAAAAAAACCAGAGTAGCTAAATAGATCTTTT